TTGTTCATGGCCTCCAAATCGGCCGTAGTTAACAGGCCATCGCCCAACCTGTACTTCCTTAGCATTCCATCTTTGAACCTCGCCCAACTATCGTCGGCGGCATCCACAACCTTGCTCACTTCTTGGTGGTGGTCATGCAGGACATATCTCATAATCCGCTGGAATTTCACCTCGTCTGACAATCCTACCAGCGCCTGCTCGACCAGATCCAACCAATCGGAAACCCGCTCCCCCTTGAAGTGGAACGTGTCAACCTTCGGAACATTACTGGGCGCCCGTTCCCACCGGTCCAAGGCTTCGATAAGATCGTCGAGCGTTAGGAGCTTTCTCCCGCCGTTTGCCACACTGTCCGGCATTTTGGCTGACTGCTTTTGGTTCAATCTCCCTGTTATAGGGAGCAATAGGAAGAAAGGCTTCACTCAGCAGTCCAACTCATCACGATCCTATCGGACCGACTACTTAACCTCCCGGCACTTTCGACTTGGCAGACACTACCTTCCCTATTTCCCTTAGGCTCACCTTAATAAGGCCCATTCCCACCATAGGACTCCCCAACATATTCGCTTCAACCATACCATCAGCCAAACTACCAATCATAATCAATCAAACCTAACACACACAACCATATAGACCACCATATAATCCACACCATGGTCTTATCCACATCTTCCTTCTTATATGCCTAGTTTTCCCTCATTCTCATACCCGGATGTCGTTCCACCAGGGACAACGCTAGGCTTCCGTTATCCCCGGCAAGGACGCCACCTGTCAAGCGCATCGGTCCGGCACCGCACAGGACAACGTGAGACCCTCCCGGCCGCGTCATGCAGGAGTTGGTTTAAATCCTTCGTCGCAAATATACATGGAGCTTTCGCAAGCCGCTCCGGCCGAGTGCGCCAGCCATACCTCCCGCGAGCCCCTACGACAGGATAGGACCTACGCGAGGCACGACTTACCTCCACCTTACGGGAGCAGTCACCTCCCTTCGGTGAGCGTATCCCCGCCAAGCTACCAGTCCACAGTACGAAAGCTGATCAGTTGCAATCACAGAGGTGGACCAGCCGAGGGCGTTTCTCGTTCGTTGTAGCATAGGGGGTACACGCGGTATTAGGCCTCTATCGAGCCCGCATGCGAACCGACATCTTGGGGGGCTGAACTCCCAAGCGCGGCCCATCGTCGGTCGACTAGGACGCATCCCACTCACCATGCGTACACCACTCTACGAACGCAAATATAAAATGCACACACACGGCACACGCACGAAACGACGCAACACAAACAACGCGACAACGCTCCTAGCCCCCCGGTAGTCGTTCGAAAACCTTCCGATGCGGAAATCGGGTAGGCGTCGTGCGTGAGACTTGATATAAAACCGCGCGGACACAGGGCTAACTCATATCGACTCGCAATGCAACTGTACGCAAGCAGTTGCAATGATAGCGTACTATGTAGTACCCATACTCATGCGATCCTCGTTAATCTCGAGGGTCGCGTTCGACACTTACCAAGGTCGTACCATACGATTCTGCCAGGGGCGGCGGGACGACGAGGTCTCCAGGCTGATCTCCACCAATATGGATGGAGATATATATGATAAATTTGGAAAGTACATTGACCCGAAGACACCCGGCGGAGTCAGGCAGGAGGCCCAGAGGCGAGCGGCGGCAGGGCCAGCACCCCCAGCCATGTTCAGGATGTGGCAGGAGAGAGAGGACCTGGCCGTAAGGGTCGAGGACATTGTGGGAGAAAGTGAGGAGGTAACTCAGCGGTTAAAGGCAGGGACTATAAAGGAGGAGCCGATGGTCGTTGAGTCAGATGATGAGGGGCAGGAAGGCGAAAGAGAGTCGGCCGTAACCATCTTGGAGAAAATGGAGGACCTGCTGGGGAAGATGGGTAGATACCAGCAGAAGCTGCAGGATTTGTGTCCCGAGACCCGGGAGTGGGAGGCCAACCTCCCCGGAGTCTTCCTTTATGACCCCGGGCCCGAATCCTCGTCGGGGCAGCAAGGGTACCCAAGAGTTGCGACTGTGGGGTCGGGCCCCAGGTCGGGTATGACCTACAGGCCCCCCACGCCGCATGGAAGAGTGCCACAGGCGGCGCGGACCAGAAGCCCGAGAGCTGATCCGATCGATAGACGACGAGTGGCCCCAGTCTTCGTGCGTTTGGGATTGGCTAGACCGTGAGCTCCGAGCAGGCCCCGAGTACGTGACTTGCATTGGGCGGCTCTTCTCAGACGACTGGGGGAGCTGGTGGAGTGAGGACGCCGGACGACCTCTGATATACGGCCATCAGTTGACGGAATACTACCAGTCCATAGGACAGGCGCCATACCGCGTCGAGGACGAGTTTGACGAYGAGGGTTGGGAGCGAGAGGACGACGAGGACGCCTGGGAACCAGACTGGGTCGACCCAGAGAGTGAGGTTGACGAGGAGGAGATTGACGTTATAGACGCCCAATTTTCCAGGATAGGAGTAGCGGTCCGGGCGTAGGAGGTAGAGGGGCGCACCAGGGCGACGGATGAGTAAGCCTGGCTACTGAACCTATTTGACCATACTGGACCTAAGTGCGAGAGTTGTCAGAAGGGTTAGCAACGTCAAAAGATAGGGTGCATCGGAGGGAGTAGAGTGATGTTGGCCGAGAGTAGGAGAAGAAATGAGGAGTGATTCAGCGGCCTGGTTAGCTTATGTTCTCTCACGAGAGTCCGAACCGTATAGTGTGAGGAAGCTTGTGGGATCCAGAGAGACGGCGGTTGGATACGACATACCACTTCCTGTGGCGTTAGAAGAGGCAGGGCGTGTACCGATACGATACTTGGGAACGTGGCT